CCCGGGTGCGTCTTCGGGGGGAGGAGGTGGGGAGCGTCGGGGGGGCCTTATGTGCCCCGCGCGGCACAGAGCGCTCTTCGAGGCATACCCTCGGCGCGTCCCGCTCACCTCTCGTGCCTGGGTGGTACTCGGGGGGAGGAAGGTAGAGACCGAGCATCCCATGATGGTGCCTATGATCAAATGGGTGGCTGGGAGGAGTTTTTGCCGACTGGAATGGGACTTGTCTCGGCCTAGTCGGTGTACTGGCCGCTGCGACGGGGAGGGTGCTGAGGTGGCATCGACTCAGTTACCCAAACCGTCCGTAGGGCCTCCCCTGCGTGGCGTCGGCCACATCGGTGGTCTCGGTGTCGGAGCCGGGGGACCCCCGAAAAACTTAGGACTTGCACCATAGCCTGAGGGAGTAAGGGGCAGGAACCCCGCGCTGCGATGCATATCCGTAGGCCAGAGGTATGTGCAGTCCCCCCGTGGGAACTCGGGGATCATTCGTTTTTAGAAAGATAGGGTACACCCTGGGCTGCGTAGCCGATGTGGTAGTGGGAATTAATTAAAAATGGAACCTAATAAAAACTTAGACTGTAGAGGATCGGAGGATGATAGGAGGAAGAAGGGAAATTCTAACGTTAGGAAATTGAATAGAGAAGAAGAGGGAAGAGCCGGACCCTCTCAAAGGAGAGTAGGTCAGGAAGGTAATAGACAGGAAAAAGAATCTAGGACATTTAAAGAAAGTAAAGTGTCACCATCGTCGTTCTTTAGAAAACCTGGGCAAAGATCTACAAGAAATTCTAATAGGGACAGTATAGGTGTGGAGTCATCCTCAGCCATGGAAACTGAAGCTGTGGAAATGACTTCATCAGACAGTGACATTGGAATAGAACATATCAAAAATAGGAATAGGAAGATGATCATGGAAGAGGACTCAGATGCCTCTCCTCCGGAGAAAATTAATGTTATGGGAACAGGCTCACAAAGATCAGTGGGCAATAGAAAGAGGGATAGATCAGGTTCGATCTCCGACAGCAATAAAAGCAGTACCACAGGAGAATACATAAGCAGGAGAGAGGCCATTCTAAGATATAATGAAGCTAAAGAAGAGACTCTTCAGCTAGAAAGAGAAAAGCTAATTAGAGAATACAACGAAAAGGAGCTCTTCAAGAAAGCTAAAATAAACTTGGAAGGTATAAAAGAACAGATGGCGGAATTGACAAATGAGGAACTTTCGGAAAAGGTTCATGCTAATTTAACGGAGGTACTAAGAATTGCTAGATCATCCAGTAATTTGAAGGGTACATTTCAAAAAAGCCTTAAAGTAGCAGCGGAATCCTCAATGGGGATTCTTGAAGTATTCAAAGAGAGAGCTACACTCACAAAGGAAGAAGCACAAATTGAAGAGGTCAGAACTCTAAAACGGGAAGTGTCTGTGCTTAAAATTAGGAAGTTGAAATAGAAAGAAGGAAGACGTTACAATCAGCCGGAGAGGCTGAGGCATATAGGAAGGAACTACAATCTCTAAGGAAAGAGAAAGCAATAAAGAAAAAGAAGACACCAAGTCCGAAGGGAGAACTACTAAAGGAATCACCCTTGAAGAAAAGTCCGAGACGGATTCCCTCGGCCAGAATAAGAGCAAGAGACAACATGATTTCGTCGGAATCGGAAGGCATGGATATAGAGGACGAAATAGAGGAAAGGAAAATCACCCTGGACAACCCAGAAAAATGGCCGGAAGTGAGGCGACCAGCTCTTCAAGGAAAGAGGAAACTAATAAAGAAAGATCCGACGGTACAAAAGGCGATATACATAGCCCACAAGAAGTACATGACGGAAAACGTAGGAGAGAGTATATCCAAAAGGGATTCTGATGAACATGGTAAGAAAAATCAGAAATCAAACATTGGTAGTACAGAGGAAGTTACACCCAGGGCCCTGGCGGACTTAATCAGAGAAATAGTTTCTGAGGAACTAGCTAGACACCTTGGGAAACCAATCATCAAGGAAATGCAAATACCCAAAGGGCATAAAGTAACTTTAGACACAGGTACTAAAAATCGTGACAAAACAGGAGGAATTAAAGAAACACAATTGTTACAACAAAAAGGGGAGATGACCCCAAAGAAAGGGAAATCTTTAATGATAAGGGAAACGACAAAAGCTCAGGAACCAGACAGTAGCGACCAAACAGAATCGTCATGGAGCAAAGTGGTGGGAAGAAAAACTAAAAGAGAATCAGGACAAAAAAAATAACAAGTTACAATAGCAGAAAGAAACCGACACCCTCAACTAGTACTAACAATACGCCTAAGAAAAGGGAGACAATAGAAGAATCCCCAAAACGGCGGCAGTACAAATTAATTGTAGAGGGGAGGCCAATTACGCGGAGACAATGCGAATAGCTAAATCAAATGTGGATATAGACATATTAGGCATTCAAGAGATCAGACCGAGGAAAACTAGGACTGGAGCTCTACTACTAGAAATACCTGGAGTAGATGGGGCAAAGAAGGCAAATATGCTGGCGGACAGACTGAAGGAGGTCCTTAAAGAACAGGAAAACGTTCTGATATCTAGACCAGAGAAAACGGCAGAAATAAGAATTAGAGATTTAGAGGAGTCAGTCTCAAAAGAAGACGTGTTGTAAGTCATTTCCACAATTGGGAAATGCACAGGAGAGATGATAAAGCTTGGCAACATTACCAAAGCGTTAAATGGTCTGGGCACAATATGGTTACGCTGCCCACTCGCTGTAGCCAAAGCGGTTACGAAGAATAGAAGAATAAGAATAGGATGGACTATGGCTCGGGTGGAGCTGTTACCAGCAAGACCTACACAATGTTATCGATGTTTAGAAAATGGACACGTCAGGAGCCAGTGCCAAAACGAGCAAGATAGGGGAGCAACCTGCTATAGGTGTGGACAGGGTGGACACGTGGCGAAGGACTGCCTTGCGCAGGTCCACTGCATGATATGCTCGGATAGGAATCTCAGAGCGGACCATAGAATGGGGGGCCCGGCATGCAAGCCTCCTCCATTGAAGAAGAGAGACAACAGAGTAAGTAAAAACAGGGGAAACATACAATCTCAAAACTACTTGGAGAAGGAAAAAAATTCAACAAATATGGAATTGGAAGCTACAAGAGAAGAAAACCCTGTAAATATCAGGGAGCTAAGAGAGGAAAGAGAAACTAGTGTAGTTAGACATATGGCTGAATGTAGTGTCAACGAGAGGCTGGACACGGAAAAAACCACACAGGAGGAATCAATGGAAATGGATACGGAGATGGATATCGGTGGAGTTATGGATAACGGACACCCAAAAACCCACAACAACAACAACAATGGAAGAAGAATGGCCAAAAATGGGTCACGACTGGATAAATGAAGAAGAAAAAAAAGAAAATAGGAAGGAACAAGGGGATGGAGGAATCCCAATAGGACACAATAATGGTTAATTATATAATACAGGCGAACATTAACCATGCCCGTGACGCACATGATTTGCTGATGCAGTCGATGGCGGAGGGGGACTTTGCAATAGCAATCGTTTCAGAACCTTATGTGGTGCCAAGAGAACATCCACATTGGACAGCCAATGATAATAAATCTATTGCCACATTACATGGAGACAAACGAGGAATGCCATGCACTCCATATATTAAAGGAGAACACTTCACAGCAATTCGCTGGGGAGATATGATGGTTTTTGAAACATATCTACCTCCAAGCCTGGATATAGGGGACTTCGAAGAGGCCATTAACGAATTGGAGAGGGAGATCCAACAAATAACAAATAAACCGATCTTCATAGCGGGAGATTTTAACTCCAAGCCGGACATGTGGCAATCCCCAGTAAACGACGTGGAAGGATGATCGTCGAGTGGGCCAGCAGACTTGGCTTGATTTGCCTAAATCAAGGGGGCCGTAGCACATGTGTTAGAAGCACAGGAGAATCAATTGTGGACTTAACTTTTGCAAACCCTGTGGCGGCTCAGAGAGTGAGATCGTGGATAGTATCGGACAGGGAGAGTAAATCAGACCACAAATATATAGAGATGACAATCTCTAATACGGTACTACATAACAGAAGACTGAGAGCCCCGCACCCGAGAAGATGGGCAATTAAAAAGATGGAGGAGGACCTATTCACGACTGCGATTCTGGTGAGTGACTGGCCGAAGACGATACAGACGGAGGAAGTTACGAGTGAGGAAATAGAAGAACAGGCGGAAAAGCTACAAAGAACTCTCACAGAGGCTTCCGATGTGGCGATGCCAAGGTCAGTTCCTAAGCCACGAAAAGCGATGCCATGGTGGAATGAGGAGCTGGATACTCTCAGATCCAATTTAACAATGGCAAGAAGAAGACTCAGGAGAATTAGGAAACGTCCTATACACATGCAGGATGAATTCGAGGTCCAGCAAACGTTGAGAGAATTCAGACAAGCTAGAGAGACTCTAGGGAAGGCGATCAGAAAAGCCAAAGCGAAATCTTGGGAGGAATTTGTGAGGTCCTTGAATGAAGATCCATGGGGCCGACCCTACAAAGTAGTCTTAGGGAAATTAAGGAGATGGACGCCTCCATACACTGAGTCCATGGATAGAGAAACTCTGGATAGGGTATTAACAGGGCTGTTCCCACCAGGAGAATCAGACGAATGGATTGAACCACAATTACCAATGGAAGGACTATCCTCATGGTCCGCAGAGCTAGAAGTCTCTCATGAAGAGATAATGCTGGCCATTAAAAGAATGATGGAGAAAAACGCGGCTCCGGGACCTAGCGGAATACCAGCCAAAGCATGAGCACTAGCCTCTAAAGATATGATGGTGGAATTGAGGAGGGTATTCACAGAATGCCTAACAAGAGGAATTTTTCCTCATATTTGCAAAAGTGCTAAATTAGTTCTTCTTAGGAAGCAAGGCAAGCCAGATGATCAGGCAGCGGGTTATCGACCAATCTGTCGTCTCGATGACGAGGCCAAAATTCTAGAGAGGATTATCTCGATGAGAATAATAGATCACCTAAATGGGAAGAGGACCCAACCTTAGTAATACCCAATTTGGGTTTAGAAAGGGCAAGTCAACCATTGATACGATAGCCAGGACAAATATATGGAAGATGCCTTTAAGGAAGGAAAAGTGGTGATAGGGGTATTTTTGGATATCAAAACGCTTTTAATTCCTTACCCTGGGGAGTGATAGACACAACTATCAATAGACATAGAATTCCGTTGTATTTAAGGAGAGCAATCCGTGGTTACTTGGATAGTAGGAAACTAACCTTCCCAAAAGAGGATGGCACTACTGGAGGAAAAGAGGTGCGAAGAGGGGTTCCCCAGGGTTCAACCTTGGATCCCCTTTTATGGAACATAGGCTTCAATGAAGTGATGAAAAGGGATGAACTACCTCCGGAATGTCTAATATTGTTCTATGCAGATGACACATTAGTCTTTGCCACAGGCGAGGAATGGGAGGAAGCCACCATGGAAGCTGAACTGGCGGGGGGTACAATAACTCAAAGGATTCAGGATATGGGCCTAGAAGTAGCTCCACATAAGATTGAAATAGTAGGATTCTACGAGAGGAACAGGCCAGCCAATACGGTTATTAATGTGGCAGGAATAGAGATAAACGTGGGCACAAAAATGAAGTACCTCGGATTCACTTTAAACAGTAAGTGGACGTTCGTTTCTCATTTCGAGGAATTATCGCCCAGGATAGAGAAAGCACCTCTTTCGCTAAGTAGGCTTCTATGCAATCTGGGTAGCCCTAATCAGAAGGTAAGGAGACTTTGCACAAATGTAATTTCCTCCATGGCCCTATATGGTACTCCCATATGGGCTTACGAGATGTTGAAGAGCCGAATCATCCAGATCCTACGAGCCACTCAGCGAAGGATAACAGGTCTCATGGTAAGGGCCTATAAGACCACATCTTTCGCCGTAAATACGGTCTTGGCAGGGGTCCCACCGCTCGAGCTGGAGGCCGTTAGTTACGAAGAAGTATACGAAAGGATCTCAAATCTTAGGAGAGACAGGTTGGCAAACAACCCAGTTCAAAGGAAGAAGATCGATACAATCAAGGAGATGGCCAAAAGGAAGCTAATAGATCAATGGAGGACATGGATTGATCGGATAGAAAAGGAGGGAGAGTCGATATTGGGAGCGATTAAGGAGCAGCTCAAGGAATGGGTAGAGGCCAGAGTGGGTCTTACTTTCCGGTCGACGCAGGTCCTCTCGGGGCATGGATGCTTCGGGAGGTACCTGTGTCGAATCGGGAGGGAGGCCACCAACAGGTGTTGGCACTGTGATGCATTAAATGATTCGGCAAGACATACCCTGGGTTATTGTCCGGCTTGGGATAACGAACGGAGGGAGCTTCAAGGGGCGATTGGAGTGGATCTTTCACTTAAAGCAATTATAAGAGCAATGAGGCAAGAGGAAGGGAGACAAGCGATTTTAACGTATTGCGAAAGGGTAATGTCCAAAAAGGAAGCGGCGAAAAGGGCCAGGGAGGGGTTCAATCCTGCTACTTAGGGTCATAGGAATTTTAGGGATTAATTAAAATAGAATAGTCCCGTGGGACTATGTAGGGATAAAAAGCGTTTGGGTAGACTGGCGTTTCTGGGGTAATTTGTTTGGGACGATCAGTCGACAGAGATAGGTGGGGCGAACGAACCGACTATCGGGGCGGTCAGATGTCTGCAAAGGACGGACATCGATACCGCGGGGAGGGGGCTTTTCCAACTTTAATTTAGTTTACCCTCCTCGCGGCCCACATGCCCTTAGGGGCAACAGGAGGAGACAGACGATGGAACCGACTAGCGGGGTCATTGGTCTCAAAAGAAGTAAATGTTAATAGGGAGAAAAACTCGGAGGCCGAGTCAGAGAAATCTCTGGCCCTCCGAGAGGGGGGACCCATGGGGCCATGGACGGGGGTCCATGACCCCCACGGGATGGGCTCAGGG